TAGTTAAAATGTTAGAACAAAATGCAGATGATATTTTATACTACATTTTCAGTCCCCAATAATAATGATTACGTTCTTTGTGTGTGTGATAATGTGATTTTGTAATAGAAAACCTAATGACCTTGCAAGATAAGGAGCTACTAATGTAAACAAATATTTCCCTAATATTTTTTTTATCAATTTCATTCCAGATTTTTTAAAATTTATTTATTTATTTATTTATTTTACCAGGAGTCATGGGAATGGTCTTATTTTTCCAGGAATTTGAGCGTTAGAGCTATTTGAATCTTCTTGGCCTAAGCTATTCCCTTTCCCACGGAATTAGTGTTTGAACATGCATTCATAGCATTACCGTCCTTTACAACTCGGTTATCTTTTGAACAAATATAAAGCACATTTACTGTGATAAAAACACAATACCTGGTAAAGGAACCAACTTCCTCATTTCTTGATATGTTTTTTGGACCAGATTTGATTTCAAGATAAAAGTAAGTGATATAAGGAAAATTTAAACCATATGTTCTTTTTAGATATTGTCTAATAGTCAATTTATTAATAAAAGAGAACGGCATCTGTGTTCACTAAAGGAGAAAACGAGACAATTTTACAATTGAGTAAAAGAGGAAGAGAGAATTTAAAATTTTTTTTTAAGAAGCAAAACGTTTGACAATGAAAAGTTAATGAGCTCTTCCTGGGGTTGCAATAAGAGCGAATTCAAGCTTGATATGAAAGCCTTTTCAGGTACAACTTTTATCCTCATATCTATTCATCCAACTGATTTGTGTAAGCGAAGTTTCGATTCTTTTCCTCCGTTTCTATGTTTGTTTGCTAGTATATAATTTAATAGTGCATTTGTGTTTTCATATAATAAATTTTACCACAGATATGAAAGAATACTCGCAAACATTATACGGGATGACGATGCATATTTTCAGCGGAAAATAGCCGTATTTCTGTCACTTTCAAAGTTTTGCTGAGACAAACTATAGAATTTATAGATGGTCGCTGATGTCCAGAGCCGGAAAGCCCACAGCTAAAGCAGTGGCCTTTCCTGTTTAGTTTTCAGCCAGAATCCTCCTTTTGCTTCAGAGTTTGGGTGGAACAATGGTTCTCAAACTTGATCGAATTATCCCTGTGTGATGAAGCCATTTCTGAGGTTTCAAGGCACTTATTATTATTAAAAGGTCTCAGGGGTAAATAAAAAATATATATAAATAAATGAATAAATGACTGAGACAAACTAATCTTGATTGCAATAATAAAAAAAATCCATTTCATTAGAAAAATTAATCTTGCAGTATATTAATTCTGCGAGTTAACGATCCATTTTCGCCACATAGTAATATCCTTTGCAGATTTTCCACATTGCTTTAATCCATTAAATTGCGAACTGGAAGCGAGATTCCACTTCTTCCACGATGATTTGATCTTTGAAATTGAATTTTGCGAAGGTAGTTGTTCCACTGTCATGTTTGTTTGGCAGAATTCCCTTTTGAAAAACAACTGTTATCTGGCTGCTCGGTGGTCGCGAGCGCGGGTCGATCTTCTACATAAGGCTGAGCAATGCATAAAGCCAATAAGGTATTCGAGTTGGACGAGATATGACGTTTAAGGCAATGGTTCGAGTCCCAGCGCTGTTATAGTTATCATGTATGTTTATTTCTACTGTTAACTTATTCTGTGACACTCTAGCATTTGGTATCGCTTTATCACTGACTATTTTACTTTTAATCTCGTAACATTGCTTCATTTGACAGGATTCCCTTTTGAAAAACAACTGTTAGATAGGGTGGTCGCGAGCGCGGATTTATCTTCTACTTAGGTCTGAGTGTGCTTAAAGCCAATAAGGTATTCGAGTTGGACGAGATATGAAGTTTAAGGCAATGGTTCGAATCCCAGCGCTGTTATAGTTATCATGTATGTTTATTTCTACTGTTAACTTATTCTGTGACCACTCTAGCATTTGGTATCGCTTTATCACACTATTTTACTTTTAATCTCATAACATTGCATAATTTCCAGAATGTCTTGTTGACCAAAGTATGAAAAAATTAAATGCCTACGAATGTTTGTATAAGTAACGATATTCTCAGCCTCAATGATATTCCGAGAAGAAATTCATAAAAAAAAAAAATTAAGAAGACAAAATATAGGATGGAAAAATAACTAAATTCAACACAATACTTCAATAATGATAATGATAATAATAATAATAATAATAATAATAATAATAATAATAATAATAATAATAATAACGGAAAACGAAAGCTAACCATTTGGAAAGTAATTTTCTTGCTGGGCTAGTATGACGAAAGTGTAACTGCCATTTTCCTCCTACATACTTATCAGAAGCATTATATTTTCATTATGATTTTTGTTCCAATAATTGCTATGGAAAATACTCTTTTTCGTAGCAAAGGTAGAATTCAATCATTCATTCTCGAATTTGTAAGGTGAAAGGTTGTGTGAAATATGTATCTTTTTATTCTCAGATTCAATG